AGAATTTATTGTCTTCGTGCGAGGTCGTGCCCTTTTACAGCAGTGGACAGTGTAGCAATTTTGCATATAAGAACAAACGTGATGGAAAGTGATACAAAAAATGCAAGCAACAGTGGAAAACAAAAAAAAATGACAAAAACGTTGGTGTTGGACTGAGTGCAGTGATATGAATGCAGTGAGTGCGATGGTTTGGACTGGTAGTGGAAAAAAGGTGGAGTTAGACGATTGTACTGGTGTCCATGCATAAAACCAAAAACCCGCCTAAGAAGAAAAATATCCGCAAAAAAAAATTAAGGTCAAAATTTTCACAATTTCAAAACATTTAATTAAACTTGCAGGAGAAATGACATGGACACTTACGTACTGCTCGTCTGTGTGCTGAGACAATGAGCAAAATTACAAGCAGCAACATAACGATTTGATTGCATATGCAGGAACACTTTATTGCATATGCAAGAATTTCTCTTGACCATTTCAGTTCTTTCCAATTGACGTCATCTAGAGCTTGACGGAACGTTCGAGAGATTTGTAGGAGGATAGTGGTAAGGAGACTTCATTCCACAGAGATGTTATTCTGTCACTGAAACCGCCGGAAACAGGGAGGACCGTAACGCCACATGCAGTTGTCAGGTGCTGGTGAAATTGGTAAATAATGGTTTTCAAGCCGCCGGATACTTCGTGTTTTCCTGAAACAGATTGAGACAAGACAGCAGACACTGTGTGCTTTTGTAAAAACTTGTCACATAAAGGTGTAATTCAAAAGAAGCTTGTAAAATAAAAATCAATTGTTTGGCATTTCGTATTCTGAAATTATCCCAGTGGAGTTCTTCCAGCCTGAGCCGATATTCACAAGTTTCGTTGCCGAGACGCACCGAGGACACAAACTTTTCGATACAACGCTCAACTTTATCCTTGGAGGTTTTAAGCAGCGGAAAAACGACAGGCGCACAATAATCCATTAAGCGAAACCGGTGAAATGTAATCCGGCCAGAACCAGTTGGAGAGATCGGGAATTTATAACAAAACATATTGAAGAGATGCTGGCGCAAGGCGTCATTGAACCACCGGATGCTGACTTGAGTTTTCCAGTAGTGCTGGCAGAAAAAAAAGAACAACGGTGGAACAATACGCACAAGATTTTGCGTCAATTACATTATGCTGAATAAGCTGACAAAAACAGTTACCCGTTAGGGAACCCGGATGAACTGTTTGATGCGTGCGCAGGCAACAAATAACACGCGAAAATGGACTTAAAAAGCGGATTTTGGAAAATTCCAATGGATCCGGCGTCAATAGACAAGACGACCTTTGTAACATGTACCGGTGGGCATGTACCGGCATGGCATGTACCGGTTTAAAAGAATGCCATTTGGAATTTGCGACGGACCACCAACATTTCAAATGTGCGTCGACAAAGTCCTATCGAAAACGAAAAGTAACGGTTGCGTTTTCTGTTTTATCGATGACGTTAATTTTGCTGAAAGACTTGGGAAATTTTTATGCAAAACATGAGGAACGTCCTACAGATTCTGGTCGAAGTCGGATTCACGATAAAACCAACAAAGTGTGAATTTGGAATGAAAGAAATGGGATTTCTGGTCACATCTTCGGCGGGGACGGAATTAGAATGGACCAGAAAAAGGTCACTGCAGTATAAGAATTCAAAGGCCATCAAACCGAAAGACAGTTAAGGTCATTCCTCGGATTAGCGCTCTATTATCAGAAGTTTATACTGGGATATGCGCAGACAACGTGCCAATACTATGAACACCTGAGACAAGATAAGCACGTAAAAAAAGATTAGACAGAAATGCACGAAAAAGAATATAACAGTTTGAAACAACTGTTATGCGAAGGTCTATTATTGGCAAATTCGATGCGACGAAACCGACTGCTATCGAATGCGACGCAAGCAAAGAAGGAACTGGGGCAGTTCTGTCACAAGACAGCCATCCAAATGCGTACGCGAGCTGTGTTTTACACGGAGATGAAAGAATTTACGGTGTAACGGAGTGGAAATGTCTTGCGGTAGATATGGCAAAAAGAAAGTTTAAACCGTTCATTGATTATTCACCGTAATAACGGATCACCAGGCACCGAACAACTTGCTGAGCTCAGAAACGAACAAAGTTGGAATGAACCCGCGTTTGACGAGGTGGTAATGGCACTACAAGGTCAAAGACTCATCAGTTCAAGATTGAATACAAGCCCGGAAAGTACGGCGACAACGCGGATGCACTTTCAAGTGCGCCAATTGAAAATCCAACGTAACACGAAGAAGAATTTGACGAAATCCCGAACTTCGAAGATTATGAAAAGAAATTCAATACGAAAGAACTGGCGGTTGAAGTGGGGCAGCTATTCCTAAAACTGGTTGAGCAAAGGGAGAAACGGTTAAAGATCAACTTAGTTACGGCGAACGAGTTGGCTAAAATAGATACTAGCGTCAACCAGGTCACAGGTTCGTTGCCCGGGTTAGTGATTTAAAGGTCACCGAACTGGAAACAGAATCTGCAGCTCAGAATGAAAAGGTCACCGGACTTGTGGATTAGCGGAAAATCGAGATGACCTTTAGGAAACGGATAAGTTTACTAAAGGCGTTAATTTAATGTCCCATTAAGCTTTCGAGATTCCCGAAGCAGATGAAATAACGACCTAAATCTCTACCGCGCTGCAGGGTCATCAGAGACTGGAACGAATTGGGTACCGCCGCAGTTTGCATCGTTAATCTCCAAGCTGATGAGCAAGAGGAGGAGACTCGAATCTGCAGTTGCGCAATAAACAGCTGAAAGATCCCTATCTGGCAATGATAATTTATGAACTGGAACATTTACCAGATGCTGAAACAAGATCGAAATTTGAAGTTCATTACCAGTTGTGGAATGGCTTATTGTACCGAGTAAAGCATAACAACGTAACCTGGAAATATCATATGTGGTACCGTTGTCAATGCGAAGAGTCGAAAATTCACGCGTTGCACGACGAGAAAGTACGAGGTCATCTCGAATTTGCAAAGACATTAGCATTGGGCATAAAGATACGCGACGTAACGGGAGAGCCTCGCTCTACCGCCTTTTTGAGACTGCGTTCTAGCCTGGCTGTGGTCAGGAGTAATGCGGCCGCTATTCTCGGCACTTTTGGAACGAGCGTGAAGCCGAGTAAACGGGACAGTTCCCACGGTTTTGGTTGTTTTTTCAATGTTTAGATTTGAATCATTTTTATTAGTGCGACCTCGAAGGCTTTTTTTTGTTATGTTGGTGGCTTTTGTCAAATAAAAGAGTTAGTAGCAATCAGACTTCGATATTATTGGATTCGGATGAGTATCGACGCAAAGAATTATACGCTCGCGTGTCAAGGATGCCAGTTTCGCAAGACAGTGAAAAAATGTCCACCCGGAAAGCTGCTTGAGTTAAAAGTCGGACACCCGTGTTTCCGAGTATATGCTGACCTTAAAAGACCATTACTTCCGACAAAGAAACGGGGATACAAGCACATAGCGGTGTTCATGGACCAACTAACGAAATACGTGAGAGCAGTACCAATGAACACGTCAACAGCGAACGAGTTTGTGAAAGTGTTTGTGAAACACGTAATATTGGTACATGGAGCACCGCATCTCCTACATACGGACCGCGGAAGGCACTTCATAGCGGAAGGTTTGTCAGAGGTAACCAACGTGCTTAAAATTAAACACACGATTGGAACGGCGTATCATCCTGAAGGTCGACGCTAAGTTGAAAGACAAAGGCAGATACTCGGAGATGGCATGGCGCTGTATATGAAAGCGGGAAACGAAAGAAAGTTCAACAGGTATCTCCCGTACGTCGTTTCAGGGATGAACAGAGCGGTACACGCCACAACCGGTTATTATGCATACTACATGCTACATGGAAGAGAAATGACGAAGCCAGAAGGTGTAGTACGATAAGGAACATACCGGACGATTATGGTACTCCAGACGAATGAGAGGAGACCATGAAAAAGAACTTATCCTTCGCTGAAGAAGTAGCAAAAGTGAATAATAAGGACGCGTACGAGAAAAATGCAGAAATCTACAATAGGAAGAAATCGGAACCGTAAATCAAAGTGGGTGCCCTCGTCCTTATAAGAGTTCCAAAAGATACGAAACAAGGGAAGAAGGAAAACCAGTCAGATTTTAGATCGAAATATGATAAAATGTGGAGGATCCTTAGCTTTCGAAGAAGAATTGAAGCAGACGTCCTCGCACAAAACCTGAAGAAAGAAACAAATTTAACGCAAGGTTTCCAGTGGTTCGGTCTCTTTGCGGTAACTCGTATATGACGGTCATAGCACGACCTTACATCAAACGCACTTGACAATATATCAGGTAAATGATTTTATTACATTATAGCGTTAGCAAAAAGTTTTTTTTGCCCACAGTAAACTAGTTATGAAGTTTTAAAGTCAAAAATTTCAGGGTGAAATTTACTGAGTACTGTTCATCCAAAAACGTTTTGGAAGCGCTATTCGGTGCGGAAACAGTGGGAAAGGTTATCACACATTGGAAATTTCAATATCATTGCTATTAAAAATCTAAAGTGCAAAAAACCGATCCAGGGATGGTGGGGCGGTGCCGCCCCTCAACATTTTCTGCTATAGCTCTCAAAGCTTACATGATATAAAAAACGGTATGTGTAACAAGCTCAGCAGGTAGCGTTCGATTTAATGACGCTTTTCCAGTAACTTTTTGGTAACGCAATGATTTGTTGTGAAATTAAGTTTGATTTCTCACGAAACGCGTTTAAAGTCTACCGTGTTTTGTTGCGCTACGTTGAGTACAGAAAATTTACAGCTGGAACTAAGTGAAGCAAATGAAAGGACAGAAGGGCTGTAGAATGCAGACGCGCACGCCGCATGCAAGGACAATAGCCGTCGGTCAACTAAGTAATCACACTATCCTGTCACTAATTGCTTCGGCTCAGCATTCCTTTGAAACGGCTGATTACTTCATTTGCGCTAACAATAGCTTTGCATCAGAATTCATCCATCGCTCTTGACCATAAAAGACCGGATTCACAACCCGGATAGTCTAAAAGCAGCGCTAGCCGCTTTTTCTCTGTTGAACAGCGCTTTCCCCTTCGGCACTCAGAACGGAAAATTGTTTTTTACCGTAAACAATTTTTTTACATACATGATAGCGCCACATACTGATAGAGGAGACTTTATTCTTTACAATGAGCTATAAATCCCAAAATGAATTTCCACTGGAACCTCGCGTTAAAGGTCGTTTCAATTGACCGTTTGAAACTTTGGCACCCGCCGTTACCACATGAGGTACCAGAACGTGATCCTCAAAAAGTATTGGAACAGCATCAACAATATCTTTTCGAACCATTGTTGCTACCCCAAAACGAGGGAACAGAAAGGTCACTAGTTTTAAACGACGAGGAATCGGTCAAAAAAGCATCTGAACAAGCACCAAAAAAAGAGGGGAGGGAGACCAAGAAAAGAGAACAAAGATTTTGAAACAGCAGTTACAATAAAGTTGAACGCAGAAGCTTGGAACGTAGCGGAATCAGAGAATGGATGAGACCATAGGCAGAGTAGTAAAGCCTGTTTCATTTCTTGAACCACGAATTGCTAAGGGTAATGATCATGACCTTTCAAAGAATCACGGAATGATGGTGAAGTAGCGGAGCGCAGCTTTCAAAAAGACCTTGAGCTGCGTCAACAGTCTTTTCTCGAACCACGCACTGCTACCATGGATAAGCATGACCGTTCAAGAACGAGAGAAAAGGAAATAGAAGCGGTCAAAACGAAAGCCGATCAATTAGGCTGTGGTATAGCAATACTCGGAATTCGATATACTCGGAATCAGAAAGAATCGGAAACCCGCTAAGGACATCTACACTTAAAAGAATGGAAAGCGACCCGAATTTATTACGGTGGTCAGGCGCATTACCCATACCAGGAAGCGTCAACAAGCTATCAAGATACGACAAACTAGGTGAACTACGGCACACCTGTCGGAACCCAGTATCCGGTACAGTCAATGCAGAATGACTCTTATCAACCGTATCCCGGATCACATCCTCCACCGATCATGGGATCATCGCAAATGATGATGGGGCCGGCACGATTGTTGATGCCACCACCGCAACATACTATACCGAGTCAATTAGCTGGAAAGGGAGGATTCGGCGAAATGTCTCCAGCACATGCGGTGATGGTGATCCCCGGTAGTGCCACTTTTTCCAGAGATGGGAGGCAGATCGTCAGGTGGAATGCCCCGTATGAAAAGGACACCGCAGCAATTTATTCGGCATGATCGAAACTCAACACATAAACGTGGGGAGCAACCTCTCCATGGAAACCGTTTCGGATCACCACGATTACCAGGAGGGAATCTAACACCATTAGGCCAACGACTTGAAACGATGGGACCAGGCGGATCACAGGTGGATCCCTCAGCTGATCCATCAACGACAATGTACGCACCAAGATTGGAAACGGAAACCAGAGAAGATGACCCCCGTTTGAACATACTCGTGGGTGAAAAAAAGACAATAATGAAAACGAAAAAAAAGCCATCGATGACTTCAACCGTAAAAGCCGTGAAATGTGCAGACTCCATGAACGGATTAATGAGGAACATGCCTTTTACGGTAGACTGTACTGTTTGAAAGTGGTCAACGACCCGTTGGATTTTGAACTGAAAGCGAAGACGAAACAAATTGAGGATAAACGAAAAGAAATTAGAATTCAATTGGCGACTATGAAAAAGTACGATCCAGCAGAGATTCCAGTAGCAGTTTATACAGCTGGCTCATCGCAAGCACCACCAGTTGACGCCGGTACCGCAGGCACAACAGGAACGTCAGTTGATGAAATGTCAGATAATGACCTGTTAGAACAAAAGAGAAAG